TCTGTCTCTCCAGTGACAGCATGTGCCCCATAGCAAAAATTTCTCTTAAAAAATAAAAAATACGTAAAGGTCACCTAAATACTACACTACACATACTGCCCATGAATATACTAATACATGGGAACCAGCAGTTAGCATAATGGCTATGTCGCTGGACTCCCACGTAGTCGACCGCCGTTTGGTCCCAGACCCGGTGGCTTAAAACTCACTCCAGGCACGTGTGCGTGCGTGCCCAAGATCCCGAGAGGAGAATGGAGGAGAAGGGATTGCGGCGTAACCATCCCCCCTGGGGGGTGATTTCTCGCTTTCTGTCTCTCTGTCTCTCTCTGTCTCTGGTGAGCACATGAGCCCTATAGCAAAAACCTCTCCAAAAAAAAGAGAAGTATACTAATACATATTGACATTTGATTTTGCAGGTTCTCCGTGAACTGCATATGTTTATTCCAAACACTCACTGATGCCTGACATTACCTGGGGGAGGGACATCCTTTAGTTTGTCATTTTATTACTGCAGCGATTCTTTGAAAATTCTTGCGCCTCTCTTAATATACAAGTCAGGATCTCTGTATAATATGAACATGGAGATTAGTCATTTGCCTTTTTTTTTAATTTGTTTCAGGTAGCATGTGCTCACCTGAGAGAGACACAGGGACAGTGAGAAAACACATCTAGTGAGGATGGCCACACCACAGTCCCTTCTCCTCCATTCCTCTCTCAGGATTTTGGGCATGCACGCACATGCACAAATATGTTTTTTAAGCCTCCAGGCCCAGGACTCAAAATGCAGAATCAGGCATGTGGGAACCAGCCACCTTTATCACCATGCCACTGGCTAGCCCACAGTTACTTGTCTTTTAACAATTAATGACTGTTTGATCTTACTGTTAATCACCTACATTGCTGTTTCAATACAAAAATCAGTTACTATGAACTACATCATCCTAGTATTAAAGCACACATTCAGAGGCCAGCAGGTGATGAGGTGGTTAAAACGCTGGACTCCCCCATGGCTGACCACAGGTCGAGTCCTGGACCTGGCACTTGTTTTCTTACTTTCTCTTTTTCTCTCTTTCTCTCTCTCTGTCTCTTTCTTTCTCTCATGAGCACACATGCCCTTTAGCAACTTTTAAAATAATAATAAATTAAATTAAATTTTTTAATCATTTTTTTAAAAAATACGCATTTAAAAATACATGGCATGGTGGTTAAGGGCACTGGACTCCCACATGGTTGACCATGATTCGAGTCCTGGACCTGGGGGCTTGCTTTCTCATTTTCCAACTCTCTTGCTCTCTCTTATTCTGTACCTCTCTGATCAAATAAAAACAAATAAGTAAATTTTTTAAAAATACACATTCAGTATAAAATGGGGACATACAATGCCTTTCTTTTATAATCTGGCTGGCTTCACTCAGCATTAAATCTTCCATATTGGTACAGTTTGTATCAGACGTCAGGGTCTCACTGTTTTTTTATAGCTGAGTAGTATTCCAATCATCCATATTTGGATATTTGGGTTGAAATCTAGAGAAAATTAACAAAGCTAAAAGTAGATTTTTAAAAGATATAAAAGATGAATAAAATTCATTAACTTCCCCCCCCAAAAAAAAAATACACATTCAGTCCACCTACTGGTTGCTGAATCAACAACAAACACTTCATAGAACTCTGTCTGAAACTTTGCATACCGCTATCCCTCCAGCTGTCTATCCCAGCGGTCATGTTTGCCCCAATGAGGAGGAATCAATTCCTGCAGTCCCCCTCCCTCCGCCGCCTCCCTCAGCACTCACTGGGCTGCAATGAGTCTCTGCTCATCCATGACCAAGCAGTGCGAATGGACCACTTCGCTCCTGTCTGGTGTGCAATGAGGCCTCAGGCTCCGTCCTCGAGACTTAAAAGAAGAGAGATTCAGGAAGGGGCTCCTGTTACAGATGCCCAGGAGGGGAGTAGACCCTGATGGAGCTGCCCTACTGGAGCCAGCAAATAACGGTCTGAAGACACGGGCCAATTATTTACAATCGCACGACCTTGGGGGCCCAATGCACAGGGCTCCTAATTAGCCAACTGGTCCGTGTTCTCCCGGTCTCTTAGGACTTGCTGATCTGAGCTGAAGAGGATGAGCAGGAAAGGTGTCCGTGGAAGGGTCTGTCTGGGCCCTTGCTCTTCTCAAGAGGGAGTTTGCATAGACTCCTTGCTTTTCAATTCCACATTGCTGGGCCAGATGGAAGTGTGGAAGTTAAGGCAGCTGGATCCCATTTGGCCAACTATGTGGTTTGAATCCTGGATGAGGAGGCTTGAAAAATCACACCAAGCACATGTGTGTGACCAAAATTCTGAGAGAGAATGTAGGAGGGAGGATTGCAGCGTGGCCATATTCTCAACCCTGAGGGGAGTGACTTCTCACTTTCCACTTTCCCTCTCTTTGTCTCTGTCTAGTGAGTACACGTGCCCTGGGCAGGAGGAGACCACATTGTGAGAGATTACCAAAAAATATTCAGACTTTTTTTCAATTTAACAAGGCAGTATGTGATTTCTATAGCTATAGGTCCATTGAATTAGTCAAGAAGTCTTGGGAGAATTAAGTTTACTATACTAAGGATGAGCTAGTAATTCCATTCTTCATTAATATTTGCCCTTGAGGGATCAGCAGATAGCATAATGGTTGCATGGTTGAACTCTCACATAGGAGACTATCATTTGAGTCCTAGATCAGGTGGCTTGAAACTCACACGGGGTGCATATGCCTGCATACCCAAAATCCCAAGAGGAGACTGAAGGAGAAGGGATTGTGGTGTGGCCAACCCCCATGGGGGGTGATTTCTCACTTTCTGTCTCTCTCAGTCTCTCCAGCAAGCACACATACTCTATAGTAAAACTCTCTCTAAAGAAAAAAATTTGCCTTTGATAGGGGCTGGCAGGTGGCATGGTGGTTAAGGTGCTGGACTCCCACATGGTAGACTGTGGTTCGAGTGCCAGACCTAGCATTTTGCTTTCTCATTTTTCCTTTCTCTCTCTGTCTCATTCTGTCAAATTTAAAATAATAATAATTATTATTTATTAATTAATTTTTTAAACTATTTGCCTTTGAGGCTAAATTTTTTTTTTTTAGTTTTAATTTTTTTGTAGAGGTTTTACCTTAGGGCACAAGCACTCCCCAGAGAGAGAGAGACAGAGAAGACAAGAAGGAAAGTGAGAAATCACCCACCAGAGGGATGGCCATGCCCCACTCCCTTCTCTTCCCTTCTCCTCCTGAGATCTTGGACACACACGCATTCACACCCAATGTGATTTTTAATCCAGTGGGTCAGGTTATGTGGGAGTCTAGCGACGTAACCACTACACCACCTGCTGGTCCCTTATTTTCATTTCCTTACCCTTTCTTAGGTAGGCATTTTATATGTTAGAGTTTTATAGGGTATTTGCTAATTTGAACGAACCTTCAATTCTGAGTTTTTTCTGTAGTCAAATTATACTGTTGTATTACAAAATTTACATATTTATTCGATAACTGATACTTAAATATGTCACAGAGCTCTCAGAAGGTTGGAACCTTGGGTCAGCTAGGGATGTAGGCATCTCAAAGCTTGACCCACAGACTATCCATTTTGAAACTCATTCGCATGACTGTTAGTGGGATTTGGTTGCTCACAGGAAAATTATCCAGAAGATTCCCTCAGTTCCTTACCATCAGGGCCTCTCGAAGGGTTAGTTCGCAACATGGTGGTTGACCTCCATCCACTGGAGCAGGCTAGAGAGGAGCAACAGAAAGTCAGATATGTTTTTTTCTTTCTTTTTAGTTTGCTATAGGGTGCATGCAGTCACCAGAGAGAGAGAGAGAGAAAGTGAGAAATCGCCCCTCGGTGGGATGGCCACACTGCAATCCCTTCTCCTCCAGTCTTCTCTTGGGAATTTTGGGCATGCATGCACATGCGCCTGGTGTGAGTTTTAAGTAGCTGGTCTGGGTCTTGAACCACATAATCAGCCATGTGGGATCCAGTTGCCTTCACCTCTGCACCACCTGCCAGCCCTGAAAGCCGGATTCTTTAACTCTGTTCCTAGAGTGGCCTGTTATCATGATCTCCTTGGCAGAGGAGAGTCCTGGGTGCATCCCATATTCAGTGTGAGAGGGTGACACTCGGGCATGGAAACCAGGAGGTGGATGTCATTGAGAGAATTTATTTTTAAAGTGTGTTCATATGTTTCTTCAGAGAGACAGAGAGGCACCCCCAAAAGAGTGTAGAGAAAGAGGATAGCTGAAGAAACTTTATTAGAATTGATGGGGTAAAAGCCCAGCAGATGGCGCGTAATGGTTACATCGCTGGATTCCCACGTAGTCAACCACAGTTCAAGTCTTGGATCCAGCAGTTTAAAACTCATGTTGGGCGTGTGTACGTGTGGGCCTGAAGTCCTGAGAGGAGACTGAATAAGAAGGAATTGCAGAATGGCCATCTCCCCACCCCACGGGGTGGGGGTGATATTTTGCTTTCCATCTCTCTGTCTCTCCAGCAAGCACACATGCCCTATTGCAAAAATCTCTCTAAAAAAAAAAAAAGAAAAGAAAAGAAAAAAAGAAAGAATGTGGGTGTGGGACCAGCAGATGGCATAACAATTACATCACTGGACTCTCACGTCGTCTACATGGTTCACGTACCAGACCTAACAATATAAGACTCATGCTTCCGTGCCCAAGATCCCGAGAGGAGAATGAAGAAGAAAGGATTGTGGTGTGTTCAACCCCCGAGGGATGATGTCTCACTTTCAATCTCTCTGTCTCTCCAGTGAGTACACGTGCACCCTATAGCAAAAATTTCTCAAAATTTTTTAATTAATAATTCTAATTTTAAAAATGGTGTTCAGAGATTCACAAAAATCCTCCCCCAGTCCTCCCAGTCTCATTCAAGGCAGACCAAAAGAAACGATATTCCAGTATGAAATATGGAAGAGAACAAAACCCATGAGAGATAGCAAATGTTCTCAGGAGAGAGATAACCCTTGCAGGTCTACGTACCCACTTTTGCCTTTTCCAACCCGTACTCCCAATGGATAGCAAAGGTTGTCTTGTGCAAGAGCTTCCACATAGCCCTCTTGATGTCCCTATTCCTCAGGCTGTAGATGAAGGGGTTCAGCATGGGGGTGACCACCGTGTACACCACCGAGGCCACGGCACCCTTTCGGGGAGACAGTGAGAAAACTGAACTGAGGTACACCCCAAGCCCTGTTCCATAAAATAAGCAAACAACCGACAGGTGAGAAGCGCAGGTGGAAAAGGCTTTGTATTTCCCACCTGTTGATGGGGTTCTCAGAATGGAAGAGACAATTTTATAGTAAGAGAAAAAGATCCCCAACATAGGGAGAAACCCAGAGAGGGCCCCGACCATGTACAGGATGATGTCGTTTGTGACGGCGTCAGAACAGGCAAGGTTGAGGAGCTGAGACGGGTCACAGAAGAAGTGAGAAATTTCTACCTCCTTAAAGTAGGTGACTTGTAACACCACCCAGTTGTGTAGCTGGGAGACCAAAAGGCTGAGGAGAAATGAGAGGAAAACCAGCAAGCCACAGAGGTGTGGGTGCATGATGACCTGG